CGTGTCTGTTTCCGTGCGGCACTTGGCAGGAGAACCTGCCGGGATGCTGCCAAACCTGCTGCCAGCTCCCTGTGCCAGGAGCCTGAGCACATGCTCCCCTTGGCTGTGACATGGCATAACAGGCAATGGGGCTAAGCCCACCAGGTGCTGCTCTCCCAGTCACCACCACCACCTCCTCCTCGCTATGACACCTCCAGGTAACCCATCCCCACTGCTTAGAGCCTGTGGCATCCACGCTCCAGGCCTGGGCAGGTGTCTTGGCTTGGCTGAGACCTCTAGATGCAGCTCTGCTCACTGATCCTGCCTACAGATCAGGGATATCCCTTCTCAGACATCTCTCTGCAGCCATGCCTCTGTCCCCTCCAGCCTCCCACCACCCTCCCCAGTGTGTGCTCACCCTGTCCCCTGCCTGCTGCACTGTGGGCTGTGCTGGCAGCACACTGGCATGGCACAGCAGGATCTCAATGGGGAGCCAGCACGGAGACACACTCTGTACAGCTCCACACACATTGTAGGTGGGCAGCTACACACTGTACCCATCGTGACAGGGCTTTTTTTTTTTTTCTTTTCGTGTCTTGTCGCTGCAGCAGCCACATAGAGCTCTGGCTCCCCACGCCGCAGGTCTGTGACTCATCTGTACCTTCCCTGCTGCCGTCTGCTCTGCCCCTGTCTCCAGCACTGCCTTCCTGATCTCCCACTCTGTCAGGGATCCTGAAACGGGGCTGGTCCTGTTCTGGCCCTGCTCACCTCTGCCTGCTGCCACTGCCACCCCAAGAGTGTCTGTGGGCACAGACTCCATGTGCTTTCTGCCTCCCAGACTTTTTTCAGAGCATAGAATCATAGAATCCCAGAACAGTTTGGGTTGGAAGGGACCTTAAAGACCATCTAGTTCACCTCCCTGCCATGACCAAAGACACCTTCCATTAGACCAGGTTACTCCAAGCCCCATCCAACCTGGACTTGGACACTTCCAGGGATGGAGCAGCCACAGCTTCTCTGGGCAACCTGTGCCAGTGCCTCAGCACCTCCCAGGGAAGGATTACTTCCTGATATCCAATCTATTCTGCCCTCTGTCACTTTCAAGCCATTCCCTCTTGTCCTGTCACTCACTCCATGTCCTTGTCCAAAGTCTCTCCCCATCCCACATCCTGCAGTGAGTTTCTCTGCAAGGGGCGAGTTGCCCAGCCTGGCCCTATGGCATTGTCCCATCCTCCAGCTGCAGGGCACTTCCTCACTCTCAATCCCCTTCTCTCCCTTTCTTTGGGATACCAACATCCCTCTGCATGTCCCAAAGGACACCACCTTCCCTGTAGCGAGCAAAACCCCTTCCACACCTCCCTTAATCCTCTACAGACAGATTATCACATCCCGAGGACAGCACGGCAGGGCTCAGCTCCAGAGCATCCTTTCTTTGGGAGAGCCCCTGGCTCCTTCAACCTTCCTGCTGCCTCCCAGCCCCGACGCTGCTCCTTTCGCTGCAGGCAGACGCCGCAGCTGGCAGAGCAAACACGTCTGCTCCTCACTCCTGTCCTCTCCTGCGCCGCCACCCGCATCGCCATCTGCGGCGCGGCCGGAGCACCCGCGGCACTGCCACCCATC